TAACCGTTTTAACCTTTACGGTTAGTGTGTCAGTCTCTCTCTCTCTCTCTCTCTCTCTCTCTCTCTCTCACACACACACACACACACACACACACACACACACGCGCGCACACACATTGGAGATTACTAATATTGGTGGAACTCTAATAAGGTTGAATTTATAGTTTACCATAGAGGTTAGTTGGTGCTGCTTTTGCTCATAGACCTTTAAATTACTCCTTCTTAATGTATTGCATTACTTCTCTTCTCACTCAGTGGACTGGTATTTACCTCGTCTAGCCGGAACTGGACTGGTATATATCTATCAAAAGGAATCATGAGCTTGTATTGTACACACCAGTATTTGAAATTGACTTCAGAAAATCATGAACTGGGTTATAATATATCAAGTTTATGGAGATCAATTACACTTGATCACGATGGCTATACAATGTGATCAGATGTTATATAATGGAGATTACTAGGCGAAAGTTTAGGGTAGATTTTATTTTATTGTAGTGTTCTGCTGGTGATGCTTTTGCTGATAGACTTATAAAGTATTGCTTCTTAATTTATGCATTTCTTCTCTTCTCTCCAGCAAGGACGGTTTTTTGACCTCATCTAGCAGAAAATAGACTGGTATTTACCTATCAACAAGAATCATAGGCTTGTATTGTAAAAGCTTCAGAAAATCATGAAGTGGATTACAATATATCAGGTTTATATGGATCAATTATACTTGACCATGATGGGTTAGAGTGTGATCAGAAGTTATACAATGGATATTACTAAATTGGTGAAAGTGTAGGTAGAATTTATAGACTTATAAAATATTTCTTCTTAATGTATGCATTTCTCATCTTCTCTCTCAGTGAGGACTGGTATTGACATCGTCTAGCTGAAAATAGACTGGTATTTACCTATCAAAAAGAATCATAGTCTTGTATTGTAAAATCTCGTATTTGAATTTGACTTCACAAAATCATAAAGTGGTTACAGACTTGTGATATATCAGGTTGATGTAGATCGATTATTCTTGTCCGCTATGGTGTGCAATGTAATCAGAAGCATTTTATAGATCTAGTTTGATATTCTCTCTCTTTTGGCATGTTTTAGCATCTTTTGCAAACTAGTCCCCTTGTTCCCATGACATATGCACACGCGCATGCTGAATTTCATCTACAACGTCATGTGCTTGCTTTACAGGTAGGTGATCAAGAAGAAAAGTTAGCAGAAGGCATCAAGCTATATGCAATACCAACAACTGCAACAACAAAGCGCACTATCCTTGGGGATCTCATCACGGTATGATTGAGAAGATCATCATGATAATGGCACGTCTGGTGTATGTCATATAATGATCTGGAATTATACTTACGAATTATATTCTTGACAATTTCTTTTTATGTCATATCCTTTTTGTCTCTTGTCACTTTATGATACTTCGTTTGTGGCTGCTAAATATATCTATACTAATGAAAATGAACAAAAAGGGAGGAACATTTCACATGTTTGTGTTGAAAACAAGACTCTTGAAAAACAAGCATAATAAGTGAACATTCTGAAATTTGGAAAGCTAAATAATGTGTCTTATTTGTTCCTATGCGCTGAACCAACAAATTAGGCCTTATGCAATAGTATGCAACCGGCAGAAGTTTCTTCAAGTACAATATCTAGGATTATCTCTGAAGTTATATTATTAAAAAAAATTATGATATAATTGGTTTGGAGCATTTCATGATCTCCAATACCAGATATTTGAGCATCAAAGGGCACAACCCTGCATTCCTTGAGGGTAAACCACTCCAAGCCCCCACTGTACCCTTGAACCCTTAAACCTGTCCACTCCCCCTCGTATCTCTCCCTTTTCACATTAGATTGTGAAAAATCATTATCATCACCATCATCATTCAAGCCTTATCCCAACAATCATCATTAGATTGGGAAAAGAACAATGAAATAGTTTCACCTATCTGGATTGGTCTGAGAGCTCTTAAGCTAAGGACTCCCTGAATTCACACTTCATTTAATTCATACTTTATTTTGTATACTAGGCTATTGCCTTTTTTCCTCTTGTAGCATTGCATTATATATAAAATTTGAGGCCTGATTTGCATAAATATTCCTTGCGTCCATCAAACTTTTATTTCAAGTCTCTTACTGGATGTCATCTTGCTTTTTTTGCCATCGGTATTTACAGAGTATATGTACCCTCTACTTGTGAACTGTCAAACTGTTTTTAACTTGCTTCTTGTTATTTATTTGCAGGTCTATGCTAAAGGAGGAAAGACAATAGTTTTCACACAAACTAAACGAGATGCTGATGAAGTATCTTTGGCGTTAACTAGTAGCATTACTTCTGAGGCTCTGCATGGGGATATCTCTCAGCATCAACGTGAGAGAACACTCAATGGTTTTCGACAAGGCAAATTTACTGTGCTTGTTGCCACAGATGTTGCAGCACGTGGGCTCGATATTCCCAATGTGGATTTGGTAAGATTTTAAAGATATTTCTTGGGGAAATCTTGGCATTTATGCTTCTTCTACTTCTTCCTTTTCTTTTTTCTTTTTTTTTTTTGAGGTAATTTGCATTTGTGTGCATTTCTTGCAACCTGATTAAATGATTTCCTCTTATTCATGAAATAATATTACCGTAGAGAAACACTACATATCGTTCAGCAATATTTGAATGCAACATATGCACATCAGAGGGGGACTAACATTGAGGAATATAGCATGATTTTGTTTTTCAACTTCATGCAGATTATCCACTACGAACTGCCAAATGATCCAGAAACCTTTGTCCACCGCTCTGGCCGTACAGGTCGTGCTGGGAAAGAAGGCACTGCTATTCTTATGTTCACTGGTAGTCAAAGGAGAACCATCAAATCTCTCGAACGCGATGTAGGGTGTAGTTTCGAATTTATCAGTCCTCCTCAAATGGAAGAGGTCTTGGAATCTTCAGCTGAACAAGTTGTTGCTACTCTTAAGGGAGTCCATCCTGAATCCATCCAGTTTTTCCTTCCAGCTGCTCAGAGAATGATCGAAGAACAGGGAACGGATGCTCTCGCAGCTGCCTTAGCTCACTTGAGTGGTTTCTCTCAACCCCCATCCTCTAGATCTCTTGTCACTCATGAACAGGTAATCATTGCTGGAATATCAGATGTACTGTTTCATTATGCATTCTAGAACTCCTATCACTCATGAAGTCTTTTCTAACTTCATGTGTTGAGTCTAAGGTGTGACAATGCACTTCACGCGTGCGAATCGTTGTAGCTCCTAAGGTTAGCATGGACAAATTTTAGGAGGTGCTTGTAGGATTCTAGAGGGAATCCTTGTTGATATCTTTCTCTCTTCGAATATCTCCCAGCACTCTTTAAAAGGATAACTCATCTCTCTCTCTCTCTACCTCTCGCATTCACGAACCCGCAACATTTAAACTTTAATAACTACCATATTGATTTCCTCTAAAAATAAAAAATATGAATTATGGGTCAAATTAAATAAGAAATTTAGAGAGAGCCTCGCAATTTTCCAGAGGAGAATTTTTAGGATGCTCTCCTTATGTAAGAGTTGGTTTACAAAATTTTAGAGAGTCAGTATATTTTTTCTTCCTAAGGAAAAGGGAAACACCCCTAACATCTAAAGTTCCTAAAAAATCTCACCTAAAGCTCTTAAAATTTGGGATTTCTCTTGGCTTTATATAAACCCATTCCCTAAGTAATACCCTAACTCTAGGACTCCTTACCTTATCTACTCTCTCATCGTAGAGTCCCCCTTTATTCTTCTGACATGTGTCCATCCCTTAACTCTAGCTTGATAATGTAGTGTAGATATGCTTACTTTTTAGATAAATAAATCTATGGCTGGTCAGAGATTTTCCATGTTTTGAGATGTGAAGCTTGTATGGTGAAACTGATTGATCAATTTCACATTTTCATTCCTTTGTCTACAGAAATATATCAATTGGGTAACTTTATCGTCCAAATACAATATTCACTTTGAAAATGGCTTTTCTTGGGAGGCAGGGATGGGTGACTTTGCAGTTAACACGCGAACAGGGATTCTCAAGAGGGTTTCTGTCAGCCAGATCTGTCACTGGATTTCTATCAGATATCTATCCTGCAGCTGCCGATGAAGTCGGAAAGATTCACTTGATTGCTGATGAAAGGGTATGTACTTATCATCTTAAGTATTCTTATGTTAGCTATAACTCGAATTATATCATGGTCGGCTTGATTGGCTAAATATGAATGGAACTGTTTAGTTGGTCCGAGTGACCTGAAATTGTACGGTTCCTGCATTTATTCAAAGAGCCTCTTATGTTTTGAATTGTCCTGCTTAGGTTCAAGGAGCTGTTTTTGATTTGCCTGAGGAGATAGCCAAAGAGTTACTTACAAAGCAGACTCCACCTGGTAATACCATTTCCAAGATTACGAAGGTTAGTATATGATGTGCAGCATATTTTTTAAGTTGCCATTTACCCATTCTACCCATGATATAACCTTTACTTGCAGCTTCGTTTCTGCTGCGTGCGCTTCATTGCTATTTCCCTTATTAGCTAATTCTTTTTTATACATGAACAATAACCTTTTCAGACATTGTTCAATTTGTTGCCTTTTTTTCTTCTTTGAATGGTTGCCACAATCTTTTTTTTCTTTACCTTCACAGTTGCCACCATTGCAAGATGACGGGCCATCAGGAGACAACTATGGGCGGTTTCCAAGCAGGGATCGAGGGGGCCGAGGTGGTTTGAGAGATCGAGGAGGTTTCAGGGGTTCACGAAACTGGGGCCGCTCAGACTCTGATGATGAAGATCAATTCAGGCGAGGTGGGAGGAATTTCAGAGGTGGGAGTAGCCAGTCTCGGAACTCTTGGAGAAGTAATGACGATGATGATTGGCTCATTGGCAATAGGAGGTCTAACCGATCATCCTCTTTTGGGAGTAGGGACAGGTACTCTGTGACTTCCCCTGTATACACACACACGCACAATTAAAACCAAATACTATTCCTCGACCTTTTCTACTTGATGCATATTGTCTCATTTGGTTGTTACAAGGTTATTACCACCCAAACAGATGTCCTTTTCACTCCTGATTGGGTAGGAAAAGTATCCCCCACTTTTGTCTATTCAAAATTCTACAACTGTTGAATTCTATCCAATCTTGGGATGCTGGGCTGATTTTTTAGTAACACGATTGAATCCCTACCCACATCTCATGGTTGGATTCTGATCTTATTGCTGTGGGATTTGCCTTTCAAATCGGTAGGCACTTTTCGTACCTGATCATATGGCAATACATGTTCTTACTTCTCACTTATTTTGGTATCATTGTCAGATTATTCTCAAAACGATATCCCTTTAAATTATTCTCCAATAGATCTTTTTTAGTCAGAAAATTACTTTTTTCAAGGTAAAAATCTCCAGACCTGCCTATGGTTTCTCTTGTTTCCAAATGTGTCACAGATTGCCCCATAGCATTTTGCTCAACATATCATGTGCGGATTCGTTAAAATAAATTGAGCCCCAGAAAACTCGAGACTTACCCTCAATCTCATCAACTTTCTCCCTACGCATCTCTGTTTGAATCTTATTTTTGCAGCTTTTAGCTGTTTTTATTATTCACCAGGAAAATTACGACTTATTTGGTGACATCACTGATCAAAAGCTCTCGACTTCTCTAATAAATCTTAGCAAGTGTATTTGTAAACTTATAATTTAATTTCTATTGCCTTTCTCAGGAAAAAACTGATGCACTTTGAATTTTCATTGACACATCTCTTCTCTTGGCATTAATCAGCAGTTGAGGTTTTAATTCATTCGAATCAACGTTTCAGATTTAAAGAGAACATTTTGCTTATAGAAAAATTGTATGTACGCATACTAGAGTTACACATATGTCAACATGGTGTCTGACATTAAGTTTGGATATGTTGCAGAAGCTTTGGTGGTGCATGCTTCGTCTGTGGCAGAGCTGGGCACAGGGCGGCAGACTGCCCAAGCAAGCAAGATTTCTAAATGGATCACCTCTTCAACTGTTCACAGCCTTCTCTGTCTGATTTGTAATATATTTTCTGATCATAGTTGGTTAGAAAAGCTTCAAAGATCTGAAGAGTTTTTTCACTCACTCTTGTCCACTTGAGATAAGAGAGTTCTATGGTGCCATTCTCCAATGACAGTTACAGGGTTTTGTTGTTGTTGTGCTAGAGAAATTTACGGTATGTAAAGCAAGTGTTCTTATCGAATTTTCACATATCTATATCAAGATATGGAATGTGCACGCGTGTCCATGCGTGTGGCGTTTTAAAGCAATCTGTTTTGCAAGTAGTTTTTAAGTGTTCCCTTTATGGATTTGGATTTAATGCTTGAATGAAGCGCTTGTAGCATATACAATCTCTCTCTCTGCAGTGGGCCATCCTGTTTGGAAGAAAATCAACGTTTTGTAGTCGTCTATGCTTAAGAATGATACTTTCTGCTACGAATGCTGTATTAGAATTTGAAGTTTGTTTTCATATATCTCTGGACTTCAGAGAGAGAGATCTGCTACATTTTCGATAATTTTGGTTGTCCTCATTATAAAAACTTGTCTGATAATAATTTCTATGCCGTATGAAAGCAAAATCAGCAGTTTGAATTTGAAAAGAAACATTTTATTTACCTGAAAACGGCTCTAAACATATCAACAAATTGGATGGGGTGCAATTTGCAAGCAATTGATGATGGACATGCAATTCAACCTGTTAGTTGGATAATAAGTTCTGAATAAATTGATTTAATTTACATTAGAAATTATTTTTGACTTTTTATTTTTTTAAATTGTGTATAATTTGAATTGAAATTCATCAAATGTTGATAAAATTTTATATCATAATAAATAATCAATCAAGTTAGCATATTGAAGCCCTGATTATTCTCTCCACCGATAGGTATCCCGATAACAGTAATTATTCACTGAACTAGGAAGATGGTATTAGTCATGAATAGTGGTCATCCAAACATGGCAGAGGTATGTTTTCTTATTCAACCTGAATGTCATTGCTCCACCTCGCGCTGTAACTGCCAAAGCCTTTTAATGAATAACAACCTAAGCGCTTCCTTGGGTTTTTGTAATGTCCTAGTTGCCATTCCCAGCCAGATTCATAAATTATTTGTACTATGGAATCCGAAATTCAGTTAAAAGTGGTCCGGTCCGAAGTCCCAACTGGGGTGGCAATAAGCGAGCCGGCCCGGTCCTATTAAACAAGGGCCTGGGCGATACAATGTGGTCCAAGACCGGGTAGGGTAACCATGGCCCAAGGGTAGGCCAAGACAGGCTTGGGCCACGGCTTACCTCGTTCTTCTTCTTTTTCTTTTTTATGTCCAATCCGGCGTTAACATTCCGTCCCTAGTTTCACAAAACCCCCAACAATTTCAAAGTGAATATTGTATTTGGATGACCAACCATTTCACAAAGTGCTTTGAAAAAATGGATGCCTAAACTTTCAAGTTATTTAGATTTGTAGAAAAAAAATTAAAATTCAAACACGAAATGAGGTCTTGACTGTAAGATCGGCTCAGATTCAACTTGAGCCGTTTAGCTCATACATTCATATGAGCTAGTGGGTTAATATCAGTATTTTCCATATATATATAGGGCAAGCTTTCTATGCTTCCCCTATAGCACAAAACTTATAGACTTCCCCTTATCCAACCGTCCATTCTGAATGGAGGGTTAAGATTACCCCAATCACAATATCACATCTCTATACTATTGTATTTTTAAATTTTTTTCTATAAACTATTTTGACACCAAATTTTGGATGTCCAATCCTCTATTAAACTTGCACTAGCGAAAAATATTAAAAAACTATTTCCAATAAATTAAAATGACCAAAATACCCTTGAAAGTTTCAAAGGGTATTTTGGTCATTATATTTTATCCAAAAATTACTTTTAATATTTTTTATAGGGGCACCCCAATGAGAAGATGGCACGTGCCAAATTTCATATTCATACAATTTGTATAAAAAAACTAAAAATAAAATACTTTGAGACATTGAATCTAAGATCAAACGGTGAGTGGCTCTCTTGATCAATATTGGACAGCTAGATGGCAGGAAGCATAGATGATCTTTTATGCTGTAGAGGAAGTATAAAAACCTTTCTTTT